TTAGTGAAGCCCCACTAAATCTGGCACTTCTGATATATCTATTCATGATCAAAGCGACAATGAATATAGGGAAATTGATTTTTGATGCCATATGGGATGCTAGTAGAGCCCACAACACCAATCTTGTCATGCCTCACCTCATCTTGGATCTGTTAACTAAAGCAGAGGTAGAATGGAAAGAAAAAGATCAAAAGTTCAATCCGGTTTCACCATTCAACTACTCCAATTTGGTTCCTAAACGAGAAGAGCAACAGATCACTAAAGCCATGTACGCTAAACAGTTCCTTGAGGAGTATAGGAGGGAACGGGAAGCTCAAGCTAGTGCCAGTGCTGACCCTACCACTCAAAGCTTGGATCTCCTCTACGAGAAATTGGACAGAGAGATACGTCACAGGAGACGTAGACAGAGGCGTGTAAAGGAGTTGTTGGTCCAGATGGCAAGGAAACTGGATATTGATGGGTCGGATGTTGGAGATACAAGAATTAAGGAAGGGTCGCCTGGAGAGGAACATGAAGCTAGAACGTCTGGTGCTGGTATTGGTTCGGGAGATGATATGGCCGTCGATCTGTTTGCAGAGGGTGATGAGGATCAGGGGGGTCAGCAGTCCGAGGAGGAGGATGCCTAGCTGGGGCTGTTTCTGCTACTGTTGTTGCTTTTGTTTTTGTTTGTGTTCTTTCAATTTCTTGTGGCTTGCTCTATTTTGTGTTTCGTTATTTGCTTTTCTAGTTCTGAAAAGGCTACTGATGGCCTGTTGGATTGATTGTGATTCTTGAATAGTATCTGTCACTGTTGATTATAATTGTGTTAACTGCTGAGAACTGATTGAAGATGTTGATAGTTAACTGATCTTTTCATTGATTAATCTATGGATACCAATAGTAATTGCTGATTTCATTGAGGTGATCTGATAGCGATACTGTTGAAAGTTGTGCATATTGCTATACTTGTATAGAAAGAAAAGCCAATTTTGACCTTTCATGCAGCGGATATATTGTTTTTGGATTCTAACTGCATGCCCTGATCTTCACTTACTCTTGTTGACAGTGAGGACACTGTCAATTTTAAGTTTGGGGGTGGGGATTGATTTTTATGGATAACAAGATTTTTGTGGATAACAGGATTAAATTTGAAAAGTTTTGAAAGGTCGCTTTGTTGAGTAAATTTTTTTGAGTAAAAAGAGAAAACAGTTAAAACAGTGAAAATTTTGTTATCTTAAATTTTTGCTCGTTTGGTTTTATGAAAGATGAGCTGAAGTAGTGAGTTGTTAGTTGAAAATGTATGAATGGTCCAATGATTGAACAAAATGCTTAGTTACTATGCCTGATAGGAAGTTGTGAATTGCTCTTTGATGTTTGAATTGTGAGGTTAAAACCTGTGTTTCTTTAATTTTGGAGAAACTAATGCACAAAAAGGGTTGAGGTTGAGTGGATAATTTAGCCTTTATACTTTTGTTTCAACTAAATTGTTTCAGAACCTTCTTTTGATTTCTCAAAGTTTATGGTTTGTTCTATATAAATTTGAAAAAGGATTAGACAATTCTTAAATGCGTTTGAGCCTTTCAAGCTGACCTTAAAGATCTTGTCCTTTGAACCCATACTTTGAGCTGTAAAAAAAATGTGCATATAGATGTTTACATTTTGTTTCAAACCCTAACCTCTTCTTGGCCCAAAACCAATTGAGAAAAACCATGAAGTCCTTAGCTTTGAGATAAATGAAAGTTAGAAGGACAAGGAGTTTGATGAGATGTTGAGATTTTGAAAGGTTGGCAGGGGTAATGGAAATATTTTGGAAATTTAAAGTGTTAGAAACTAAGCTGAGTTATTACTTTTAATGTTTTGCTTTAAAAAAAAAAAGAAAAAGAAAAAGAGAATGGCATATAAATATTTAGTACAACTCCATGAAAGCTTGGTGAAAAGAGAATAAATTTTGGTACAAGTTTGGTGGAATGAAAGTGGTTGAAGTGAGTTTTGATTACGAGTATCTATTTATCTCAAAGTATTTGTATACTCTATTTTCCCTTTCTTTCCTAAACCATGACCTCTTGGCCACGTTACAAGCCGAAAAGTGCCTTTGATTTCAAATTTATGTGAGGTGAGTTGTAGGCGGAGAGAGAGAAGGAGTTAGGCTTATGAAAGTATGCGGTTGAAGGTTAGTATGTTGGCTAAAGTTTCACATTCTGTTGAGACATTATCATGAGAGATGTTCTTTGACTCTATACACACACTCACACTCCAAAATCATTGAAAGTTTGTTCTAAGCTCATGAAACTTGTTTCGTTGGGTGATTCATTAATTTTCTATCCTATATATTTTCTTGAGCATTTGATGAGGATATAACTGTTCCTACAAGCTTTGATGTGTAATTTGTTAGTCAGTTGCTGGTTTGTTGTTTTACTTCAAGATGAGCAAAAGTCTAAGTTTGGGTGTGTGATAACCTCTCAAAATTCCTACTTATTCAACTTGTTTTAGTGCTCTTTTATTTGGTTTGGAAGTCAATTTTGCAGGAAAAATCCTGAAGCGAGTAAGGAATAGAGACCAGAAGTGGAGAGGCTAAAAAGAGACCAACCGCCGTGGCACATAGAGACAAACACCACTGCGGCTTTAATAGAGAGGAAGGAGTGCACTTCTGTGTGAGGCGCTATGGCTCCTAACCATATTCCCCGTGGCACCCAAGCTGTCCCAAAGAAGTCCCTGTTTGGTGTAATCCGCCGCGGCCTATGATCACACGCGTCGTAGGGCCAAAGCTGCTCCTAAGAAAGCCATTCTGTGTAATTTGCCGCGGCCTCTGACCCCTTGCAGCTGTGTGTTTTATGATGTAACTTAAAAATTAGGGCATATACAGGGGGAGACTCATTTTTTCTGGACACACTTTGACTTTGGGGCGATTTTGGAGGCTTGCTCTACTAGGATTTGGAGCTTTAAAGGCTTGAAAACTTTGGGCTTGAAGCTAGAAGAGATTCGAAGCTTTTCACTCAATTTTTCTAGGTTTCCTTCTTCTTCCTTTCTTGTTTCTGTAATGACTAATAGCTATTCTTATAGTTGTAGCTTCTTACTAAACATATATAGCTAAATCAGTTTTTCTAGGGTTATTTTGATTTATTGTATGGACTGAGACTTGGTTTTACTATCACTTGAGTATTAATAATAATGTTCAGTTGTTTTTACCTTGCGCTTAATGCTTCCTTGTCACTGGCCATCATTTGGATTGATTGTTTGATTAGTTTAAACTTGAGATAGTTAAGTTAATCTGTGACTTTGGTAAAAACGTGCTAGTTCGGAAATTTAACTGAGTAAATAGACGGTTTGTTGATAGAACAGAGATGTATTTGTTAACCTAGCATAGACTTAAAGGGGTTTTGGTTTATAGAGTGCAACCTTTTAAAACAAATGCAAGAGATTGCTCTATTTTATTGAGGATGCAAACATTTGGTTTTGACTTGAGAAAGCTTAATCAATTCTGCGAACCCCGGCTAACTGAACTTATTGTTAAGTACTACTTGAGAATTGATTAATCCAATTTTATGAAGTATTTTAGTGAAGAATAACTCTAGTCTCTTAATTGTTTCAAAATCAAGTTGATTTTATACTGCCTTAAATTATTGTTTTTCTAATTTCATTTCACAACTCTTTTACAAGATTTGTCTCATTGAACCTAATCAAGAACACATTAATGATTTTTAACTCTTCTAGCCTTAGTCTCTGAGAAAACGATACTTTTTATATTACTTGCAACCCATCCGCTTGCGGTTTAGCTAATCGGCGAACAATATTATCAGATGCCAAATCACAATTAAAACAAAAATGAAGTTTCTAACTTTTACTAAAGTAAAAGGACAGAATAGCTTCATTACAGAGGACATAGATTATTACATAATATCCATACCGGACAACTAAATATCATGACATATGATAGTCATGGGCACAACACAGCAAACTGAATTACGTAGCACACAACAAAAAAGGTACATATAGTACTCAAAAGACACAGATATTTATTCATTATCGCATCACAGAGACAACGAAAAGCAAATCAGCTAGCTCATGGATGCATGATCATGGAGTCCATTTGGTTTTCAGAAATGGGGTCCCAATCTCGACGTTCAAATTCTCTGATGTATGGTGATAATGGATCCCATGGCAACACTTGTAACTAACATTTTCAACTTCCATAATCTTCTTCTTACAAGATGGCTCAGGGCAAGTGATAGTGAAAGGAACTCCTGATCGTATATTGCTCAATTGGAAGTGGAAACAAGGAGGAGGAACACTAGCCCTCTTTTGATTGTAATACTCTATAAATGCATTATCAAAACCTTGGAGGACTTGCACGTTCAATCTCCATTCATCGAAATTCTCCGGTATGCTCGTTACCAGGGGACCAAACCCTATAACCAGCACATTGGGGCCTTTGCTTAGAAGGGCCCAAGTTTTCTCGTTTTTGTATGACAGTAAAGTTTCCATGCCTTTAAGAAAAGTGTCCTGTTTGGGATTCTTCGTTTGAGCTCTGCTTAACATCGAGTTGGTGGTGTTGTTCCAGAAATTGGATACAAAGGTTTCGTCAAGCTTTGAGAGGTTGAAATGCTCGATCATGGTATCTGCTTGCTTGATGATGGGGTCCTTCTTAATGGATACTAACAATGAACCAATCCTTTGGGTCCCAGCAACGTCAAGCCCTCCATAAATGAAGATGTACGCGTCATTCTGAATCTGCATATCGTAATATTTGCATTGGTTTTTAAGGAAAAGACAATTTTCAAATATGATCTGGTAACATGTATGAAATATTCGAAATCACTCTAAATGCCTAAATTTTGACTCAAAAGAATCTAATGTTTATAATTTCTTGACTTGAAATAATCCAATTCATATAATTAAGTTGTAATCAGTTAAAGCCTATAGGAACTGAATTGATAGATAATTAACAAACAGTTTAGGAAGATAGTACTGACCCATTTTTCAATGTCTGGAAAAACTTTGGTGGCTTGATTCCAAAACCACTTCTAGTGAAGGGAGAGTCTTTCTTCATCCTCAGGTCGAAATGGGAAGGCTTCAATCTTCCAGACGAAGATCATGTGCATTGCATTATTGTGAATGACTTGACCTCTAGGGTTTATGATGACGACGATGGGCTTTCCTTGGTAATGCCACAGCTCTTCTAAAACCTTCTTTCCTTTAATGACGAACAGGTTCTGTAAGACGTACCATGGCATGTTTGATTTCAGATGCTTGAACTTCTCCTTCTGATCATCACTTATCTTATGATCATTGGTTTCCTCCACCACAGGAACCCATAGAATTTCATAATTTTGTTTCTCTCTGTCTTTTTTGAATACATCATGGATAGATTTCAAAACCCAAATCTCGTCTTCAATGTTGTCCAGACCAGAAATGAACAGCAGAACATTCTTCGTCTTCAAAACGTCATTGCTTACCTAAATCGCACGATTCATTAAAGCTGTTGATACAAATTGAGACTACTGTTGAAATAGAATCTTATTCTTGGATTTTCTATTATTTTAAATTAATTTATTGAATGTGAAAGACTTACCACTTGTTGAGTAGTGTTATCGAAGATTTCGAGCTCGGTAATTTCCTCGGCGAAAATGAGAGCCGTCAAAAGATCCACAATTCCAGAAGGAGACTTAAACACATCCTCTCGCCAATTTCGGTCTATCCGACCAACTGGAAATTTCAATGAATTAAGATTGTATTGTTAGCGTTGGATATATTACTGGGAAAATGATAGTTTTAGTCACGTCCTAGAATATCAATTTAATAGCATTTCTGTTCCAACAAATTTTTATTAAAAAATAAGTTGCGAATATTAATTAAGATCATGGTCAATATAAGTGTCAATTGCAATGTATCTATTTGGTACGAAGAAAATGGAGAGGAGGGAATGGTAAGAAAAACTTTAATAACTTTGATTCAAAAAATTGAAAAAGTTAAGGTTATAAAATTTTAATAAAAAATGTAAGGCAAAAGAATAGGAAAAATTAATTAAAAGCTTATAACTCCACTTCTCAAATTTTTAAAATCAAACTTGTAAAAGATTTTCCACCCCTTCCCTCCATTTTCCTCGTATCAAACAGACCTAGACATTTAAGTCTCATAATTCATTCTCAATGACTTACAATTAAAACTCTTAACATTTGTAAATGTCTGGTAAGCTTGGAAAAACTTGAAAATAGTGATTATTGAAAAGTTGAAAAAACTCATCAGCGGTTCTTTTCCGTAACCTTCATCATGCGCAATCTCATTCAACTCATTAGTCAATCTCATGACAACACGATTGAGCTTCCTAACAACTTCGGACTTGATGTTCCAATCCCTATATGCATTGGAAAATAAGCACATTAGGTAATAGAACTTCCCAAACACAATAAAATCTGTGAAAGGATACAAATTCGTTAAAAAATATTCAAGAAACAAATGAAACATTCACAGTTCAGTCGTTCGATTAGAACGAGTAAGAAGGGCCAAGATTGCCCAATAAGTATAGAGTTCTCGAGGAGCATTATACAAATTTGGGCTTTGGGATTTCTCAGCGATCTTCTTCTCCAATGTTGAAATCCCCTCAATAAGTTTGAATGTAATGAGGTCTAAGTTGTTCTTGCTAGGCTTGGGTTCTTCCCCAAGCCTGAAGATATGGAGTTCAAGAGCATTTTCCTTGGTACGTTCCATGAGAGCAAGACGCCGAGTTTCGCCGAAGTCCAAAGCAAAAGCGCATTTATATGCGACAGGCTTGGTGAGCCCAATACTGGTTGATCGGGTTTGCCCAATGAGCCGACCCACTATTTCCACAGCCATAATAATAGTAATAATAAGGAAAGTAAAATACATTAATTACCTTCTCTTTTATCTAAATTATAAAAATCTCTGTTTTATTTTGAAAATGTATATAAATCTTCCTTAAAATCAAAATATATATTACATAAATCACCCTTATATGTTTAAGGTTTTATTTTTGTCCATCCAACCGTTAGTTAATTGTTAAGTTTGACTTTCAAACTTTTATTTTGACCAAAATATCTCTTATTAACATACAAATTTTTTTGAACATTTATGTCTATTAAAAAAATATTTTTTGATACAATAAAAATAATTAATACATATATTTTCAAAATTTTTAATATGTTATAAAATTGATTAATTTTGATTATATTATAGAATTATATAATTTTAATTCTTCATAACATATTGAAACTTATTTATTTAGGTCTCTTTTAAGTGGATAAAAAATATTTTAAATGCATATTTTTTATCATATAATATAAATTATTTGAGTTTGGGACATTATATAAATAATTTAAATTCATAATTTAAAATTTTTAAACAAAAATCTTGTTGCAAACATGTGATTTGATTGATTATATATTTATTTAAAAATTTTATTAAAATTCATTCAATTTTTTATGTTTACATTAAATAAATTACTTAATTTTCTGTCTAAATATGATAAAAACATTAAACAAATAACTATTTTAAAAAATAAAAATAAAATTAAAGTAAAAAAATCTTAAATTTTTCAAAATAGTTTTAACTAAAATTTAGGGATTTATTGTTATGAAGGGTAAATTAGTAAATAAAAGTATTTTAACATAAATTTTTATTGAAAAAATATCTTTTAAAAATATTCTTAACAAATTTAACAATTTGAATTTAAGTGTATGTTTTTAAAATAGAAGGGAGGTTTGTATAATTAAGACAAAGTGCAAGGGAGGTTAGAGTATTTTATTCTAATAAGAAACCAAAATAAAATTTTTCATTGACCAGCCCATATATATAATTTTCAAAAGAAAATTATTGATTTTTTATTTTAAAAATATAGGATAATTTTTTTAACATAAAAAATTCAAAATAAAAATAAATCTGAAGGGAGGTGAAAATAAGGTTTCATCCACACACAAATTTTCGCTATCAAATTATGCAAATTGGATTCCCTCCAGGTACTAGGTAGTTCTTGTGAAGAGAAAAACAAAGAGAAGTGTTCATGGTGGGCCCCATTAAAATCATTAAATCCTTTTCTCTTTCTCTCTCTATGCTTTACGAATTACAAGAGAATTCTCCCCTAACAAAATATCCCCATCAGTGGTGTTACTAATTGAGTTACGCGTTCATTCGTCCTCTGCTATTTCATTCATGCATCTCCAATCACATAAGGAACTTCCTCCGTGTTTTACATATAGGTCTCAATTCTGAGTTATAAAGTGAGATTGTTAATTTTTTCTCGAAATACATCCTTGTAAAAAATTAAAATTACTATAAGATGTATTTTTCAAGGAGACATTTTAATTACAGACATATCTAGAAAGCAAAAGCTACACATCACTCAGGTTTCAGTGATTTGTCGCTTGGCAATGTTCAAAAAAACAAATTGAGACCTGCATATATACTCCTCTGATCCTATTTATAAGTCACTTCCAACATATTTCACATAAGTTAAGAAAAACTTTAAAATTCATTAACTCTTATTTAAAATTCAACAACTTTTTAATTTTATTCCTATTTAATATACACTATATCTCATGTAAAGAAAGTCAAAACAATAATAAATGAAGGATAAAATTGTACATCCATATAAAAGATTTTTCTGAGTGCCTTATAAATGGGACAAAAGAATTTATTCTCTCTACTTTATAAATACAACCAGAAGAGTGTGTGTATCAAAGTAGTCTATTGATTTGACTCGATGATAGGCTGAGAGTTAAATTCGGAAATAATAATAACAAAGTTCAAATCTCAAACAATTTTCAACAACCCTTCGTCTAAGTGCAAGATAAATAAAAGCATGCAATAAGATACTAACCAGACAAGAAATAGGCCTCAGTATATGTGTTGGTGGCTCGAAATTGCTTAGAATAGCCTTCTCATCTTCTACAATCTGTGTGTGTGTGCATATAAAAAATAATAAACCAATCATTATCTCATATATATATATATATATATATATCAGATCATGAAGGTTAAATATTACGTACCTTGGGGGCTGCATCAGTATGACCAAGTGAGCAATTCATAATCATTGAGACAACGCTGAAAAGAGCTTCGACGTTGAAGGATTCTTCACAATTAGTCTTGTGAACGTCGACATGGAACTTATTGTAACGGAGATCCAGGATCTGGCTATCACTTAGGGTTAGTGGTTTTAATAATTGCTTCGATGTCATCTTTATGATCTATTTTCACTCCCAGAAATCTGCAGGTTTCCCAGAAAGCGATGTGATGAACTATTCATATATAAACCTTCTCAGCTCAGTTAGCTTAATTAATGTTCTTTTAGTGATATATATGTAAACAGACAGACGCAAACACAGCACAAGCACACATTTTTATCATATTATAATTAGGGTTTCTTTTTTGAAGTCGGATCCTTTGCTTTTGGGAAGGATGAGATTCATCTGTCTTTAACTTTGTACTGTGTCAGACTCTTCGAGAAAAAGAGAAAATTACAAGTACTAAAGGTAAATGGAATGGGAATATCTTGTGAACAAGGTAAAGAATATAATATTCGGTATATCATGGAACTTTCTCCCGCTTTAAGTAAATTAAATATTATATTGTTGATGCATGAGACCACGCCTAGATGTTTTCTAGACCTTATTAAATCAATCAAAAATCATTTCCTAAAAACCCCCTCATAACGCCTTACTATCATATGGAGTCCACACTTGACTCATTGAACTTAGGTCAAATTTCTTATACTCATTTTGCCAAGTTTTCTAATCATATAAGGTCATATGTCCTATTTTTAAAATATTATCATTAAAATATAAATTCATATAGAAAAAAATAGGACACATAATTAATTACGTATAGCCGTGAATCCCATATTCTTGAAGACATTAGGATCCCATGTTCTTCTGCTAATCTCCCTTGTCATCTTATTTATTTGATCTTCTTTAATTTGCATGTATTAAAAATGATTAGTTTAAGATAAGGAAAAAAATTTATGAAGGGACTCATAAAAAACAGCAGAGAGAGAGAGAGATAATTTTAGTTTGTGATTGAGAATCTTCTTTAAAGCAAAATTTTAAAGGTTTTAAATTTTGATGAACTTAGTTAGTTTTGAATATAACTCATACAAATTTGATTCACTCAGTTGTTTTGAAATAATTAAGCTGATGGGAGGACACTCAAAAAAAAGAAAAACAAGAAATTCTACATCTATATGTCCGTAAAATTTTACACTCCAGCTAGTTCGTTCTTGGGGAAGAGACTATGAGTTTTTCAGCAAGGGTCTTGACTCGAGTCTTTGTTAATATTGAAAACACTTTTGGAATAAGTAACCCCCAATAAACTTAAAATTGCTTGAATTTAACACAATATGAAATAGTTATGGGTTAATATTGCGCATAGTTGTCGAAATTTGACATATTTTTTGTTTTAATTAGTCACTGAAATTTGATTTCATTTTGGTTCGCCTAAAAATGTTTTTGTTAAGGACCAAAATCACTGATGTCAAGTTTTTGGAATTAAAATAAAAAACAGATTTGAGTCCAAAAAATAAAAAAAATAAAAAACAGTCAATTTTCAGAAACGTAGCTAAAGGTAATACTAACCCAGAACTTAAATCATCAGGCTTAGCACTTGGCATGGGCAAAAGAAATGGGCTTATAGAGACCTCGCATAAACCATGAGGCTAACCTGATTATATATAAAGCACGTGAAGATAAGCGTGGTGCTTAAAAAACCACGTTGCATGCACAGTGGGAAAAAGAAAATCTCACTTAATTAGCTGTTTTCCACCAAAGCGCTTTGGGCAGACATCCGTATTGATTGCAAAATTTGTTGGCTTTTATTATTTCAATGTTTTGTTGAGCATAAGCCCTTCATCATATGCATAACGACAACAAACTGAACAAAAGAAAAAAAAACAAGAAGAAAAATTCTCCATCCACACCTACTTTTTTTCCTATTACAAATTCCACCTATTAATAACTTTATCCTTCGTTTTTTTATTTTTGCGTTGATTTTTTCTCATAAGATACTCTTCTGATCCTATTTATAAAATACAAAAAAAAAATATTTTTTAGTCATATTTATAGGACATAAAGAAAATTTTTATATAGATGTATAATTTTACCCTTTATTTATTATTGTGTTGACTTTGTTTACATGAAGTATAATATATATTAAATAGGGATAAAGTTGAAAAGTTGTTGAATTTTAAATAAGAGTTAATGAAGTTTAAAATTTTTCTTGGTTTGTATGAAACATGTTGGAAGTGACTTATAAAAGGAATTAGAGGAGTATAATGTACATTAAATATGGATAGAGTTGGAAAATTGTTAAATTTTAAGACAGAGTTAATAAATTTTAAGATTTTTTACAATAAAAAGTTTAGGTGAGTTGGGTCTAGGTGCTTATTGTAACACTATTTTTTTCGTAATGATCATAATGACGTAAGGTTGTGTAATTATGAGGAAGACAAATTCAGAAGAGATCTACCATGGTAGAAAAATTTGAAACCTGATCGATAAAAGTTAACCATGATAAAAAAGATAAAACTAGAGTGACAAAAGTCTACCATGATTAAAAACTATATATGTATTAACTAGCAAAAATAAAACTATTTTAAGACTAAGATCAAAGTATAAATAGAATTTTAAGTATTAAATTAGCAGAGTTATCATGTAAATCAAGTATATTCTTTTTTTTTTAAAAATGAAAACGAAAGAAATATCCTAGAGTTATAGCAAAGTTAAATATAAATGGAGGAAATATGTACCACACATAAGGAATACAACAGAGCCTTCAGGCTCACTCCTTAGGTGCCTTCCCTTATTTTGAACCTTTTCCTGAAAATG